TGTATCTTGAATAAGGATGTGCATTTGTGTTTTTATTTTTATAGTTACAATGTACACTGAAGATGGCATTCAATTTCATTGTATGATGTGCAATGACAATAAACTAAACTAAACTAAACTAAACTATGTAGTCACTGAGAGTTGATGCCAACATTGTGGTACATAATCAAACAATCCTTATTCAAGATACACATCGTACGGGCCAATCAGAACATTATTTAGAAGGGTGAAGTAAATATGCCAGTCTTAGCTATGCCTAAGTAGTCATGACCACAGCTGAAATCAAAGGGTTCACAATCATTGCTGAATCCAGAACTAATTTAAAGTTAGTCTGTCTAATGCAGGTTCAGTTCCTATTCATTTTTTCATTTTTACCAGCCAATTCTTTGGGCATTATTGAACTGTCATATTTGTTTGAGAACTCTGACCAAGCAGCTTCTCAGGTTTCAATCATTTCTCTGGCTATTTTTGTTCCTTCTCAACCAACAATCATCGCAGAACTGAATACATGACCTGGTTGACTCAACAACTTGATATTTTACTTACATCATGAACACGATTGCCTAAATATATATTATAATGTACTGTTTATATATTTAATGTACTTATAATTGCTTTCCTAAACAAATTGTTTCTAAATTTCAGAGAACCAGACAGATTATTTTTATAATAACTATCTCCCATTGCAATTAGAAAGATAACAATACATTGTTTCCTCAAGTTGAATTATGATTCTCAGGAATATGCTAGTCTGAATATGACTCCTGAATCAACAGTGGTTATTTTGAAACATAGTTTTAAAACAACTTAAGAACAAGAAAACAATAACATCTCAAAAATGTAAACATTTGATAGTTTAAACTTGTTGGAAGAAGCTTTTTGTATTCCTGGCAAGGGGAGTGCAAGATATGTTTATTGAACTAGGTTTTGTATCTTTACAAAAAAGTGGTTTATTTACAGAAGAAAAATACTTGAGGGAGGCATAAATGCTTAGTACCAGCTAGTAGCTCCATCCTATCCAATATGTTTCAAGAGGATCATGCTCAACTGAATAAGGCCCAAGGCAGGAAGAAAGATGCTGAGATTAACACTTAGGCAGACACAGGGGGAGAAAAGAGAAATATAGAGGAATTCCTATTACCTATCTGTACTTTACTGCCATTTGTGATTAATAGATTGAGATGCATCTAACAAAATAACAGAGTTGGAAGGGACCTTGGAGGTCTTCTGTTCCAACTCCCTGCTCAACCAGAAAACCCTATACAGGAGGTGTTAAACTCAATTTCATTGAGGGCCACATCAGGGCTGTGGTTGACCTCTGATGGCTGGGCAGGCATGACCCACTGGGTGGGTGTGGCCAACTGGGTAGGCATGGCCAGCTTGATGCCACTCCCGAAACCTCTGGCATGTTTCCTCTTTGCATTGGGTAGACTGACCGAAGCAACCCAGCCCGGCCCCTTACATTTTCTAGGATGGCCCCGCAGACTGGAGCAGACCACATTACAGGCCAGATCCGGCCTGCAGGCATTGAGTTTGACACTCCCTATACAGTGGAACCTCGGGTCCCAAACAGCTCAAACGATGAACAATTCAGGTGCCAAATGAAAAATCTGCTAAATGCTTCAC